TGAGATGTTTATCCTCTAATTGGTTATGTTTATCTGCAATTAGTTACGCGAATTCAAACATGGAGCTTTAATAAGTTGTATTTATGCATAATTTGCTTGTAATCTTGAATTTTAAGTAATATGGATTAATATACAGTACTTCATGCATAAAAAATAGTTTTAAGAGTTTTTGTCAAATGGTTTATAATACTAGAAGGGTACTCACGCAATGCAGCGAGATACATCTTGATTTTAATATTTCATTTTATTATATATCGATATTAGTATCAAATTAACTATTTAAAATTCATATGTTTTGTGTAATATTTTTATTATAATTTAATTTAAGTTCAATCACGAAGTAATTTATATTTGGTTTAACAATATAATTTTCTTAAAAAGATAATAATTAAATATTTTGTTAGAACTCGATAAATATCCTAATTATATTTTAGATTTTTTATATTTTAAAATGAGGTGTTTATCCTCTATTTGATTATGTTTATCCGTAGTTAGTTACACGAATTCAAACATGAAGCTTTAATAAGTTGGACTTATGCATAATTTACTTGTAATATTGAATTTTAAGTAATATGCATCAATATATAGTACTTCATGCATAAAAAAAGGTTTTTAAGAGTTTTTGTCGAATGCCTTATAATATAGTGTATATATATATACACACACACACACACATATATAATAAATAAGAAACTTGGGTGACACATGTCATCTTCTGGTGAGGCAGTTATCTTGTTTTCCCGCCAAAAGACGTATCTAGACACAAGTTACATTATCAGTTCAAATAGACTCATTTGAACGTATCTAAACACAATTTACATTAACAGCTCAATTAGACTCATTTGATTGACATGTGTCCTCTTATTCAACTACTTCTAGTAATTTAGGATGCAATTGATTATTTTTGGGTTAATTAAGTTGTGTGGTAACCGATTCCCGGAAAAGTGGTGTTTTACTTCAGAGTTATTCTTATTCTTCAGACTTATGCTTCAGAGTTATTATTCAGAGTGTTACT